CAATTACCACAGTCATCAATTGACATTTCACCTTTTTTGAAACGAGAAAAACACACACACACTTGAGCTTTTCCCATAGCACTGTGCTTACAAGCTGTGTTCAATATCACACCATTTTCTGTGGCATTTTTCACAATCAGGAAACAAATTTCACAGCCTTGCGCTGTTCTCTTAAATCAGCCATTACTAAAAACGAGATTCAAATGAAACTGCTTTTACGAAAAAACTCACTGCCACCGGAGAGAATCTTCCCAGGTGATGCCACTGGGTGTACTAACTCAGAGCCAGTTGCTTGATGCTGGAAACGTGCTGTCCTATGAAAGTCTGCTTCTCCTCCAAATACTGTACTAAGAAAGCACTGTTTCTCCCAGCACAATTCCTTTGTTTGTTTTTTTATCCCCTCTTATATTCTTTCAATCTATAAATATTTATTGACGGCTTCTGTTTACCAAGATAGGGCTTTAAAAAAAAGTTATGCTTTTAAGACGCTCACTTTCTGATGGAAGACACCAGAATTATAATCAGCTAATTATAGAATGTGAGAACTGAGTTTTGGGAGGCACATAAATGAGCAAATTTTTACAGTGAAAGGACATAGAGGGTCTAAGGTAGACTTCACAGAGCAAGTTGACCTTTCTCTGAGCATTGAAGGATACTCAGGGTTGCACCCGGTGTGAAGGGTAGAAATTAAATTAGAAGAAAATCACAGCCAAACTCGTAACCACTATGCCACCGTCATAGATTCATTTAGTTAATTCTTTCATTTCTTGAATATAAATATTCAAATAAATCCATTACATCAGCACCATGCTGGGAGCTGGTTATGTAGATGTGAATGGGGTGATGTAGTCACTGTCTTTAGAGAAGAGAATTTATCTGCAGCTCATTTCATACATATGGACATTTAAAAAAAAACAATGGAGAAGAGAAAACAGAATGAATCTAATTATTTACATTATGGATGAATCTAATTTTTTACATTATATATAAAACTACTACACTTCAGAAATGATGAGACATTTCATGATATGGTACATCCTTAAGTAGTATGTGATCACATCAGCAATGATTGATGAAAAATGAGAGCTCAGAGTATCTGAGGTTTCGCTCCTGGCTAAGTGGCTAAGTTGTGATGAGTGCCAAGAGAGGTGACAATTATTTGTGCCCCCATCAGAGTATTTCACTCAGGCCATTTAAGTCATTATTTTATTCAATCATCACATGTGTAATGAAAAAGATCATGGATTCTGTGCATGCTGACTTTAAGAGCCACCATCCTGTTTTGATTTTATTATATATTCTTTTAAGATATTATAGATCATATGCATGCTGTGTTCTTAGTTGAACGTATTAGAACTTCTGAACTTGTGCGTAACCTGGGTTCAAATCACATCTCTGTGACAACATAGGAAATCTGGCGACCTCACTCCAGAACTTTAAAATCAAAGTTCAAACAATTACTGTAGCAGTCAGGCAAAAAACACAAACCCACAGTTAAAGTGAAGTCGGCTGGGGGTGGCTGTTAATGAATTGGAGACTGGTGCCCGATGACAGGGGTCGGCTCTCACTCCATTCTAAGCAATTACTATTTGGCATAAATATAAGCACTGTTAGTGGCAAGGAGAACTCAGAAAGACACACACACACACATTTCTCCAGTGGGAGCATTTGTCTTATCCTGATTCCTGCAGTGATCTGGTTTTCACCCACTTTATAGGAGAAGTGGGACATCTGCCTTTACTAATTTGCCTCAATATGGGAATTATCTATTTTATTGTGCAATGCTGCGGTCTATTTGCTGTTTCGCATAGCAATACCTTAAGTTTAAAATTTCTTAGAAAAAACATTCAAAGAGTAGAATAAGCAAAACATCAACATCTTTCCAGGCTGTGATGGAAAGTGAAGTTGAACGTGAACTTGGTCATTTAGTAACAGTAGATACAACTGGGACTTGAGTGTTTCAGGTCAGGTACCTGAGAACAGAATACATAAGACACTGAATTTTCTGATGGTTATGTTCAGAAAAGCGCTTCTATGTAATACTGGAAGCTTTAGCTATGGTTAATCCCTAGTGTAAATAGGCTGGATCTGTACCCCAAACAAAGAGCACCCTGAGGGTGGTGAAGTTTTGACTGCTAACTGAAAGAAAGATCAGAGGTTCAAACCCACTAAGCAGCTCAGCCAGAGAATATCCTGACCATGGGTTTTGTTTGGCAAATATTACAGCCTAGAAAACCCTTGGGACAATTTTTCTCTGTCACATGACGTTACTGAGTAAATACCAACTGGACAGAATCCACCAACTCTCAAAGGCAGACTAGATTGGAATAAGTGATATAACTCTATCCAATACATCTCATCATACTCATTTGTACACATTTAATGATCACAATTGAATTTTTATACAGAGGAAAACATAGTGCTAAATCAGAGTTTTTCAAACTATAATCATGACTAACATTTAATAAATGAAATAAAATAGAAAAGAATAAAACATTGAAGTGTATTTTGTGAAGAAGTTTATTACAGAAACATGTTATATAATTTGGAGCCCTGGTGATGTAGTGATTATGAGTTGGACTGTGGTCCCAAAAGTCAGCAGTTCAAACCCACCAGCAGATCCTTGGGGAAAAGATGAGGCTTTCTACTCCTTGAAAGAGTTACAGTCTTAGAAACCCACAGGGCATTTCTACCCTGTCTGATCGGGTCACTATGTGTTGGCATTAACTTAATAGTAGTGGGTTGAGTTATGTATGTAATTATATATTATATGATGTTATCTTATATAACGGGAATTTTTAAAAATTTGCACAAAAATCCCATTTTCCTTTAGTTCCAATTTTCCACAAATTTTAAAAGACTTTTTTAATGAGATGTTTTATGTAACACACATTCTCATACATACACATTCTTGAATTCTGTTATAAAATGTATTTCTAAGTGTGGGCAGTGGTTAAAAGTTTGACAACCTTTGTGTCAGCTATTCCACATCAGTTACATCTAAAACTTCTCCAACACACATGACATTTATGTTACCACCCATGCTTCCCATGTACAGAAAGAAAGATGTAGTAAGTTTTTTTTTTTTCTTTCTTTTTTTTTTTTTTAAGATGTAGTAAGTTTAAGTGACTTGTAGCATAATACAGGTCCCATTAAGTGGCCAAGCTGCATTTGAACTTTTGGTGATTGGACTCCAAAATATGTGGTCCTTCTTTCTCAAAATATTAAGTTTAAAATATAGTTTCATTGACTTCAGAGATGTTTTTGCTTGTTTATTTGCTTAGATTAATGGTGGTTGGTTGGTTGGTTGGTTGGTTGATTTGTATTTTGATCAAAATAATTACTAATATATGACAAAAGTAACACTTAAGATTTCCCAGGCATCAAGTAACTGCAGGAAGGACACCAGCCTATGTGATCTGAGGATTGTAAATAATAAAATCCAAATCCGGAGGAATGATATCAGAGCTTAAATTCTGAGCACTGGTTTGCAGAAGGTTACGATGACAAGGGAAGCCCCAAATCCAATCGGGGCTTTGGGGCAGGTTCCCACGTGGATTAAGCTCCCCTCTGACCAGCGTCCAGTGATGTGAATAGGCTTGGTGTTACACAGAGAGCATTGTAAAGTTGACTATGGAAGATGTAGTTTGCTAAAAATGTAACCTTTGATCTCCCTTTGGCTCTTAAAAAAATTCCCAAGACAATTTGACTGTAAACAAAACAAAAAACCAAAATTAACTCAGAAGTCTGTGTTTTGGACTTCAAGTACTGTTTTCCTTAATTGTTAGTTGTTTTTTTCCCCCCCTTGTAGGTAGATAGTGATGAATTTAATATTTCCTTTCTCAAATCCAATGAAGAAAATAAAACCATAGAAATTAAAGATTTAAAAGTATTCACAAGGTATTCCGTGGTGGTCACGGCATTTACTGGAAACCTTAGTGCTGCGTACGTGGAAGGGAAGTCGAGTGACGGAGTGTTGGTCACCACTTTAGAATCAGGTAAGGGGTAGGTACTGTTCACCATGATCGAAAACCCGTCTTTCTTACAGTTTCTCACTTTCTGTTTTAAGAAGAGTATGTGTTACCAGGAGTTTCTTAAGCTTGTAAATGAATAAAAACTTCAAGGAGACACAGCAACTGATTAATTTGAAACTTTATATTTGTATTTTTTAAGTAAAGTGGAATTATGAAAAATATCCAATTATTCTTAACACAGAAACAAGATCATCTAGAATAAGGTACTCAGTGTATTTTTTATACTTATTTAAACTGCTAGTTGCTCCAGAAATTGAATGACCTGGTGAATGAGATTTTTCTCCAGCTGTCTGTATCCAATAGTGCTTTATCTAAAAATCTAATTAAATTATTTGATCTATCCCAGGACTTAATCACAAAGTAATATAAGAATACTCTATTATTAAATAATCTGGAACTCCAAATTAGAATTCAATACACTGTACCATAGCTGCTTGCTTGACTTAGTCACGTGACATGTTTATGATGTGGGCTGTGTGATGACTGCCAGAAGCCATGCTGATTTCCTCAAGTACTTATGCACCAGGTCTGAGTGGATTATAAGATCCGAACCAATAAGAATTACAGGTGGAAAGTCACCCTGCCAGAACGTGCTTACCCCCTCCTCCTTCAGACTCCTGATGTTCTTTGCCACCAGATATATCATTGGAAAAAGCAGATGAAGGGATGTGTTGCTATAGTTTATTTGTTGCGATCTAGAAGGTAAGTGTGGAAGGTAAAAATAGATTTTAGCTAGTTGTTTGACCATGATCGACCCCTTTAACATTTTGTGTATAAAATGGTAGTTCTGAATTAAGAGGTAAAGTTTATTCCCAAAGCCCTACATGTTACACGTTCTCATCGGGATGCCAGTAGCCCACATCTTAACCAGTCCTCCAGATAATCGGGTTTCTTGGCCCTTCCATTCCATCATGTCCATCTGTGAGGAAAGATACTGAAGAACTTTGTGACTTACACACCATGAGACGTGGACTGTTACATCTTGATTTGCTGTCTCTCCCAAGGATGCTATAATAATAATAATAATAATAATTTTTAGTGAATCCCGAAGTCAGGAATTTGAGTTCCAAAACCAGAGATTTGGGGATAGGAAGTTCTGTTTCATATTCAGATAAGTCATGCGCTTAATTAAACTTTAATTCTAATGTCTTTAATAAGCAGCTTTTTTTAGAGAAAGAAGTGCTATTTTATGTTGGTCATAAGATGTTAAGAAATGTTAAGAAAATAAACTCATTGAACCAATTCAAGTTTTTTCCTTATGAATAAAATCTTAAATGTAATATTTAGAATAATAACATGTTTATCAATTCTCTTTCTCATTATTATTGATTTACTTGTTTCTATTTTTGCAATAGGGCCTTATCTATAAAAGTAACAGAAATATAATAAAATTTGGGTAGCCAAATATTAGCAACCTTCTTCATGAAATTTCCTTCAATGGTTTATTTATTCATGCAATCATCTACTCTCACAAGGAGGACTAATTATGTGGTTACCCATAACTAGCTCTACCATTAGTAACATTGCAGTCGTCTGAGGGAGTTTCTTTATGGTGATACAACAGTTCTGTATCCTGTTTGCGTGGTAGTTACAGGCATCTCTACAGAGGATAGAGTTTCTTAGAACTACCCACACACAAGCTAGTGAAAATTTTGGAAGCCGAATAAGGTCTGCAGTGCAGTTAAGAATATTGGATCTATGTCACTTTCATAGTTTGATATTTTTCTGCAATTATAGAAGATGGAACCAATAGGTGAAGATGAAGGAGGGTGTGCAGGACTGTATGTACACTTTTTGCAACATCCTGTCTATGTTATTTATTATTTTCAAAAATCTCTATAAATGTATTATATAAAAATAAATATATCTAAACAGAAAAATAAATAAATAATTGAGAATCATCATGGTGACCTCTATGAGTATACAGATGTAAAGAATTCTGTAATATATTAGTCTTTATGCTTATTTTCATCATAATTGGCATGTTTTTAAATAACGTATAATATTCTTCATATAAACAGAAATTTGAAGCAAATAGCTTTTTATGAAGATCAAAAGGAACACAGATTTTAAAATATTAATTAACAAATATTTTATTTTAGCTCCCAAGGACCCACCAAATAACATGACATTTCAGAAGATACCAGATGAAGTTACAAAATTTCAGCTAACATTCCTTCCTCCATCTCAACCTAATGGAAATATCCAAGTGTACCAGGCACTGGTCTACCGGGAAGGTGACCCTACTGCTGTCCATGTTCACAATCTGAGTATTATTCAGAAAACCGACACATCCATCATTGCAATGCTAGAAGGACTAAAAGGTGGACATACTTACAATATCAGTGTAAGCATTATGGAGTTCAATAATTTTTCTAAAAAACGGATCCAGTTTGCAAATTCAGCATTAAAAAATATTTCCATTTTTGTACACATTGTCTTTGCTTGGATTAAAAATACCTACCACCAGAAAATAGATTGAGAGAAAATTATCTATTTCTTACAATATTTTCTAGAATTTTTCTAAATTGAGAGCCTACCTTTTGTTACATGAAAAGTATGTCATAAGAAGAGGAACCTTATTTGCCTGGTTTTTCTCAGGGTTAGATGTTTATAGTATGTGAATGAGTGCTGAATAAATTGTGGCTATAGCTAATAAAAGCAATGGGAAGACGATGAGGCTACCTGCTGCCATCGGCTTTACAGCCTCAGAAACACTGTGTGGGGTCTTTCTGAGGCAGCATGAACTCCATGGCATTGGGATGGGTTGAATACAAGAGAAAATAAGAAATAAGCCAAACAAAATATAGCCACTGTTTAATTTAAAGAAAAGTAAATAAACAATTATTCACAAAGTGAAATTTTCAACCTCCTTAATACCTGGATACTTGTTAGAAATATAGTTAACATCATAGCCTCAGAACTATTTAATAGGGATCTATATATCTGCTTTTAACAGGGCTCTCCAAGGACTTCTTTACATACTGCAGTTTGAGAAACACTTCTCAAAATAAAGTTTTCACTAATTTGTCACTTAAATGTTAGGTTGTGCTGTTAGGAAATAAAAATATGAAACACAACATAATATTGCTTTACAATTTGAATACTTCCTTTTTAAAACTTCCACATGCCTATAGATATTTTATTTATATAGTTTTTATATTTTATACTTAGTTTATTCACCATCCCTCCCAACCATACAAATTATTATATGTAATTTCATTCCAATAAAATGTTTGCAAAGTGACTGTAGTGTAAAAGATATAGTGCTGTGAGCCACTAATATATTAAAATGAATTCATCAATTAAATAAGCATATTACATTATGAATGGTGTCCAACAAGTACAATTAAAATTTGACCAAGAACACGGTCTAAATTTTGTACAGTGAGACAAAGTGAAAAAGAAGAATCCGTGTCTACAGCTTCCTAAACACAGAGTTAATTGAAAGGATTCACATTTGTGTAAATCACACTGGACACACAAACAGAAATGCTTTATGAATGTATGCTCCTTTACGCAGGTTCCTTCCTCGGCTACCTAGGGGCAGGGGTGAGGAAGGGCATGAGGGCCAGCTTTCAGAGGGGTGATTTAAGACAGGAAAACTGGACGGCTGAAGGAATAGGATTTCATCTAAGAGGAGAAAAAAATGGTTCTTGAATATGGGTTTAAAGAAAATCAGAGTTTAAAGAAAACTATCTACAGAGAGAAAGAACAGGTGTTTGAGTGGGTTGAGAGACTGTAGACATGGCGGCCTTTTTGTTTGGTTCGTCCTGTGAGCTCAGACTGAAGGCACAGCCCTCTCGGGAGCGCTGGCCAGCGCTAGCTAGGCCACTCAGCTTTTTTTGTCTTGAGGCTTAGAATAAGACAGTAGTTTCAGAAATGCATTATGGTTAACATTCTTCCTATGTTTATTGTATTCATTTAAATGACTGCAAAATAAATATAATAGGCTATATGCAATTGCTTCTTAGTGTAACTATTATTTGAATTACCTAAAACCATAACATATAAATATACGTATATATAACCAATACTTTGAAGAGTAACCAAAGGTTTTATTATTTTAGGTTTATGCTATCAATAGTGCTGGAGCTGGGCCAAAGGTTCAGATGAGAATAACCATGGATATTAAAGGTACTTACTTAAGTTTCATTCTATGAAAATGCTATTGTCTTAATGAAATAATAATTATTAGAATTAAAGATACAGGCCAAGTTTTAAATGATTCATATGTGAACAATTATTACTTAAGCATGCATTAATTAATAATATGTATGCTTATCAAAGTTATCCTAAATGGCTAAAATATAATTCAAATTATATAGCAAAAGAGAACATCCACCTACTGTGTATTTCATAGTTCTTTGCCTCTAAATGTAATCTTTACTGACATAGGTTTATAATCTGTTATTGTAAGATTTAAAAGAAAATTTATTGAAAAGAAACTTGTTATCTAATCATTTGTGTCTGCGTTTGACAAGTTCTAATTAGATTCCTCTACTCAATCTTTATTAATCTTAGAAACCAGATTCTTTTCAGTTAATCAAATTGTTTTTACTAAACTCCCACCATATATTCAATGTTACATCCTGACTCTCAGGAGTATATTTATCATATTTAATAATCTGATGACTTATTTTAGTAGAAAATATAAGTATATTTCAAACTCTTTCCCACAAAAGAAGAAAAGTTTTCAGAGTAATTTGAGGTCATTCAGCTTTTCAAAGGTCCTTTCTTTGCCTGAGACTGAAAATAAGCAAATGACTGTGCTATCGCTCTAAAAATGCATCAGCAAACCACACTGAAATCATTTGGATTTTTAACAGAAATCCAATGGATACTTGTCTTTCTAGAACCAAAATTAAGTTTTCTCAATCACTGGTAAGAGCAATAGAGCATAGGAATTAAAAATGTTAGTCTGGCTCTAGGGTCAACCCGTCTGAGATGAATCCTGATTCAGCCTCCCTCTCTGTTTGATTTGGGGTAAGCCTCTCAACACTAATCCTGTAAAATGGAGATCATGCCAGTTCCTTCCTTATGGGCTGTTATGAGGTTCAGAAGATACAATCTCTGAAAAACCTGGAATAAGAATAGGAAATATTCATAATAAATGAAGTTGATTTTTTTTCTATTTTTATTAGTGAATAATTGATATAATGCAGTGCTACATACCAGGCTATTTATAAATATTATCTTATTTCATTTTAATAGATGAATTATGTACTTTTTAATGCACACACTCATACTCAAACTATCTGCCATCGAGTCGATTCTGAATCCTTTCAGCACAGGGTGGAACTTCCCCTGTGGATTTCCAAAACTGTAGCCCCTGCTAGGAGTAGATCACCTACATAAGGTCTTCGAAAATCAGTAGTTTTACAAAAGGGCTTTATAAGAACTTTGTTATTTCTCTTTGATATCCAATGGCAGACATGTAAGTATGCACATAGCAATCGCTGTCTATGCTCATGCTGCAGAAAACTTCCTATTACAGGTTCTTTGTTTCCTCATTCGTAAAGATGATTTCTTTGTCCTTCCATGCCATAGAAAGGACAGGTAAATTCGTGATCAGTCATCTGGAGAAGAGGTCTGATCACTGGAGACACTGGTGGAATCCTAGAGAATTTCCTTTTACTCTACTAATATGTATCATCTTATTAGTGGTAGGGAGCTTTGAATCTGTAGTGGCCTCATTAAATCAGCATTTGATGAACAATTCAGGTACAATGCCTAAAGCTAGATTCTTCTAAGGGAGACATTTTGCTTGGAGTCTTCCTCCTGACAAGCTGAGGTAGTCTCAGACTGTTAGGTAACATGAACCTCTCCCTTCTGAACCGCCTTCGTGTTCCCCTTTCAGAGATGTCAAACCTGCATCTCAATCTGAAGGCTCTTCCCACTTCCCCCTGCTCCCACTTCCCCTCTTCTTTACAGGCAGTCACCACACCACACCCCCTAAAACGGACAAATCCAGCATCATCACAGCCTTTACAGATCCGAGGACCCAACTGAAGTCTCAAGTAAGAAGACAGAAGTTGAATGTGAAGCTCAAAAGAGGAATGAGCCTAAAATACCAAGACAAGAAAGTTTTATTTGTATCTTGATATTCTCTTTGATAACTTTGTGACATAATACCGACAATTTTATGGCATTATTTGGAAGCTTTTAAAACAGTAGATTTAATAAATGGAAAATTTTAGTTAAATGATTTATCAATGCTTATAAAACTAGAATAAATAGCTAGAAGATTAAATTAAAGAAGCAGAGATTTTACAAAATAAATGTTTTGGAGAAATGGTTGCACAGTGATGGTACAATGTGAATTGTCATGATGCTTTTAAAGACTATCATGGTGATAATTATGTATTTTAAATAGTTTTATTGAGATATAATTAGTATATTATACAATTCATAGTTAAATTGTATAGCACTGGTGAAACAAATAACTGTCTTCTAATTCTTTAATATCTCCTCCCCTTATTATTATGGTCCTAGTTTTGCCTCATTAATCTTGTTATCCTGTGTATGTAATTTTTATAATTAAGATAGTTTGATAGATGAAATCCAAGGTAGATAAAACTTTCAGAAATAGTAAAGAGAGTAATGATTCCCTAAGGGTCTGGGACAAGCGGTGTAGGGGGAACAGAGAACTGATAGCAATGGTAACTGTGTAACCCCACTGAAGGGGAACAAATAACAGAATTGTAGGTGAATAGGTACTTTGGATTGTGTAAGATATGGAAAATAATAATAATATATCATATAATAATAAGGGTTCCTTGGGGGCTTGGGTGGGGGAGGGAGGGGATTAAGGAGAGCTGATATCAAAGAGTTCAAGAAAAAATAAGATGTTTTGAAAATGATGGTGGCAACAATTGTATAATTATGCTTGATCTAATTGAATGACGGATTGTTACAACATCTACAAGAGCTCCCAATACAATTATTAAAAAGGAAAGAAGGGTCGTGCAATCATCACCACAATAAGCTTTGGAACATTTTCTTTCAACATATACCCTATATTCCAGCCTAATTACAGCAGCTACAATTCACTTTACCATGCTCTTGTCTGCTGTGAGGGCAATCTACAGTCCTGCGTCCTGGCCAATGAGGGAGGAACCCATGGAGGCTCAGTTCATGTGGGGACTCTGCAAGTGGATCGGCAGATTCCCCTACCACCATAGTGTTCTGAAAACTGGATGTTTAGAATTTATGCTCTGGGACTGTTCCCTCTCTAGGTTTGGGTTTTATTAATTACAATTGCTGGCTCACAAAGGCTAGTGTGCTTTCAGTGTGGACTTAGCTGACTCCTCACTTATTGTTTTGAAATAAGCCTTTGAGACCCCAGATGCTATTGTTTCTGGTAGCAGGCACCGTCTGATTTCTTCCTCACACTTAGCTACATGTGTGTCAGTGATGTCCTCCTCCTTAGAGCATGTACCAAGCAGGGTCATGGAAATATTTATGAAAGTTAAAAATGCATATACTTTTGTCACAGAAATCCTTCTCTTGAGACTCTATTTCACTTGGCAGAGGGGAATCATAAAATGAGGCTGAATATGCAAGGTGATTATTATAGTAAATGTGCAAAAGAAGGTAACTTAACTAAATAATATTTTACTAAATTAACATGAAGTCTTTACATTATGACTTATAGTCATTAAGGAGAATGAATTAGCCTTGTACCTGATGATTTGAAAAAATGTACATAGTTATATATTTAAGTGAAAAATTCAAGATATGGGGTAATTATGTGTAACATAACCCCATTAAAATCTAACAGTGATGATTTCATTTTCTGTGTGCTTTTATCTCATTTTGTGACTATGTAGGAATAAATTCTAGTGCTAATGTAACTAAAATGGCAATTAGTAAACTAGTTAAAGTAAATAAAAGAGAAAAAAAGACTACTAAATTTGCATTTTACATGCATTTGTAAAAATTCGATTGTGAATGTGGCTATATATAATTATTTTTAATGCGTGAAGGTGAAGTATATGTCTGAAAGTCACACCAGGGCCCCATTATCTCAGGTAAATCTCAAATGTGTAATTATGCCATTAGGAGATAATAATTGCTAAATGTATACTGTATCAAAATAAAGCTCACGTTAATTTGTATTTATTTTTGTCATTATTTTATTTGTAAATTACATACACCAAATTTTTTAATGACCTCTTGCTTCTACTTAGAAACTAAAATACAATTACAGAATTATTATTTTCTTATAGCTCCAGCGCGACCCAAAACTAAACCAATTCCAATATATGATGCCACTGGAAAACTGCTTGTCACTTCGACAACAATTACCATCAGAATGCCAATATGTTACTATACTGATGATCATGGACCAATAAAAACCATACAAGTGCTAGTGACCGAAACAGGAGGTATCAAATGTCAATTTATTAAATGGTCAAGTGTGGATCTCTGAATGCTTAAGAAATCTCAGTTCAAAATTAGTAATATACAGTTGACTCGCAATTATCACACAACCCTTAAGGTTAGCAGATTGTCAACATTCTATAAACCATACCATAATTAATTTATACCTACATACTTACCATAGAAGATAATAGAGAAAAACAAAGTTGCTGCATTCCAGCTCCTGGGAACCTTATGTGTGTCGGATCAGAGCTGTGCTCTACAGAATTTTCGAAGTAGGGTGCCAGCCCTGTCTGCTGAGGCACCTCTGCATCGAAACCATCAGCCTATTGATTGGCAGCTGAGCACACACCAGTGTTCACCACCCAGGGTCACCACCCTCTAAGATAAAGGATAGTTAAAATGTGTGACTTACACATTTCATATTCTGATAAATTGTTTGCATCTTGGAAAATGAGCCTGTCTGCTCTTTTGGGGGTGTTGGCAAGAGTTGCTCTGCTTCGAGGGGCCTTCCTCCTCGGATGAGAAAGTCGTCTTTCACAGTGATGCCTATAGACTGGTGCTTGATGGAGAGGCACGGGGTTACTTCCAACCAGCACCACCAGCTGAAAACTCCATGGTGGTTCACCAAGTGACAGATGTGTTATTGAAACTTCCCTCGTGCATGGCAAAATCACTCTTGATTGATGTGAAACTGTATTAATAGAAGTAATCATTTTCTCTTATCTCCTGACAATAGCTCAACATGATGGAAATGTAACAAAGTGGTATGATGCCTATTTTAATAAACCAAGGCCATATTTCACAAATGAAGGCTTTCCTAACCCTCCATGCATGGAAGGAAAGACAACGTTTAGTCGCAATGAAGAAATCTATGTCATTGGTGCAGATCATGCATGCATGATCCCCGGCAATGAAGCTAAAACTTGCAACGGCCCTCTGAAGCCAAGAAAGCAATACTTGTAAGTAGACGTGGTGTTTCCTGTGCTCAGTGTCAGCAAACTAGTTAGCACATTTGTCTTCCATCCTTCTAAATGTTCCTTTCTCCTCTCCAAAATTCTAAACATCCATCATTTATAATGACCACATTCCGGTACTAGGGGTGTAAAAGAAGCAAGGCGTTGTCTTACATTCCATAAGCGTTGTCCTGTGAGAGAATTGGGAAAAAGGAAAAATAATCACGATTTGATGTAACAGCATAGAACCTAAGAACAGCATGCCCCAGGAAGACATGTAGTATCGTTGTTAGGTGCTGTAAGTCCGTTCTGACTCATAGGGACCCCATGTTCAACACTGTCCACCCCTGACCCATCCTTGCAACTATATTTGACCCCGTTTTATAGCCCGGGTCAATCCATCTTGGTGAGGGTCTTCCTCTTCTTGGTTGGCCTTCTATTTCACCAAACATGATGCCCTTCTCCAAAGAGTGATTGCCCTGAGTACATGTCCCAAGTCCCACCAAACTTGCTCGTTAGGAGTGTCTGGCTGTACTTCATCCACGACAGATTTGTACCTTCTTCTGGCTGTCCGTAGAATATTTAATATTCTTTGCCAACACCATAATCAAAAGGCATCAATTCTTCTGCCTTCCTCCGTCATCATCTAACCGTCGTATGTGTCGTAGCAACTGAAAATGCTGTGACTTGGGCCAGGGACACTTTGGTCCTTAATGGGACAGCTTTCTCTTAGGGCAAACTGTCATATGGGGTTTGGTGATATGATATTTCCATGAATATTGAGCGTGGATCCAAGTAAAATGAAATACTTGATTTCTGTCTTCTTTCCATTTATCATGATTTTGCTTATTGGCTACGTTGTACAGATTTGGATTTTCTTTACCTGGAAGGGCAGTCCATCCCGAAGGCTGCTGTGTTTCAGCTCCATCAGTAAGCCTTTCAAATCCTCTCAGCTTTCAGGTAAAGTTAAAGAACCTAAACAAAATAAACAACAACAAAAAAACACTGCCAAAAGTTGATTTTTACTCATAGCAATCCTATAAAGGCTTTTGAGGCTTTTTTTCTTTTTACAAACAGATAAATCCTCCTGTAGAGAGTAATGTGACTCATTTGTAATATTTTTGGTTTTGACTTCTGATTTTCCCATGCATACATTTGTAAAACGTTACCTTTTTCTTGTAAATTAGGATGACTTCAGTTTACCTCAGACACAGTGGAAGCATGCTACTCTTTCTAGTATCGAACCTGCGAATGAATGATAGATATCTGTACAACTCAGTTTCACATTTTTGTAGCCATTACAGCATTATGTTAAAAATCAAAGTTGAACCTCTTGAAATGTGTGTGCTTTGTTGTGTATATTCTCAACAACAACAAAGTAAAATCATATAAAAATCAATGTTAGCATTTGACTCCATCAGCTTTTTTGCTGAACTAATTATTTTCTCCTATTAAGTCGACTATTCTATTTTGTATCAGAAGACTATAAATTTGTCTGAACCGTATTTGATTTTTAAAGTATACATTATTTTCATGTATCCACTGCCATTGAGTTGGTTCTGCGCCATAGCCTTTGCCTCCAGCACAGAGTAGAATTACTCCCTGGGGTTTCCAAGACCGTCAGTCTTTACAGGAGCACAGCAGCCGGTGGGTGAACATTCCAATGCTGGTGCCTCGATGGCACCAGCATCCTTTTGTGCTAGATAAAACACGCTTAAACACTTTATGGACATCTTAGGCTGGGTTAGCATTCAGAAAGTGAGAACAAGACATCAGATAAAGAATTCTGTCATTTATTATTAAGCTTAATTACTTTGGTGCACATTTTAGATTATTGTCTTTATCTTAAGCATCACAGGAATGCCAGCTATAAAAATGTTACGCTATAAGATTTAATATTTATTGTTTATTTCACATATTGTTTTCCTAGATGACTCTTGATATGATCAACAAATAATTATTTGAGAGCTGTATGGATTGCATTATGCGTTGTAATTTCCTAATGTGAATTGGTTTCATATTTTTAAATGCTTGTCTGCTCTGAAATGAGGTAGAATTAAGATGTGACTGAAGATGTTAGGATCACCAACTTACTTTCACATTAGACTTTCTTCTGTGACCTTATACTTCAAATACAAAGAAGACGTAAGTGTGCAAATAAAGCTCTGCACGCGCGCGCACACACACACACACACACACACAGAAAAATTGTTCTTAATTTGCTCCCATGTGAACAAGATATGATCTAATGACTATTCTAAATTTAACACACTAATATTTTCAAAAGAGCTCAAAGTGCAACAGTTATTACATCTTATGTTTGCAAACTTTGCTAATTCAATATTCTTTTACACATATATTAAATCATTTTAGTCAAGCAAATATATAAAGGTGTTCAATACTTATAAACTGATAACTATTTAGGATTTGGGACATTTTAAAAAATAAACTACAGTTTTATTTTAGTTTTAGTTTTGTGGAGAAACAGAAGGTTCCTGTGTTCTTCTTGGCACTCTTTCTCCTCTTATTGACATTTTACATACCTATGCTACATTTTTCATAATTGATGAACCGATTTTGATACATCATTATTAACTGGATCCCTGGTGGGCTACACATGGAGCTTTTAATGCAAGACCTGTGGTTTGGACACACCAGCCCCTCCAAGGGGGAACGATGGAGTTGTCTACATCCAGAAAGACTGAAGGTTTGGGAGATCCCAGACAGCGATCTACTCTGCTAGATAAGATTGCAACGAATCAGAGTCCACTTGATGGCGGTTGGGCCTTGTCTGTTTGTGTTTAGCTTCTGGTGAGCTGAAGCCCCTAGTGCACATTAAAGGTTACTCTGTACTATACAGTCCGGTGGATTTTGAGAAATGCAAAATGTCATGTGTCCTTAACAATGTCAAAATACTTTCACAATCTTAAAATGCCCTATACTTCACCTGTTCAAGCCTCCCTCTTCTTCAACCCCTGGCAACCACATCTTTCTAATTTCTCTAATGTTTTTCCATTCCTGGTATTTTTTATAGACTTACAATCATACAGGATGTAAACCTTTTCAGAATGGATTCTTTCATTAGCAATATGCATTTAAGTTTCCTTCCGGTCTTTCTTTTTATTGTTGAATAATCCATCACTGTAGCTTGGCATCGTGATTATGCCCTGGGCTGTGATCTAAAGGTCAGCAGTTCAAAACCACCAGCCACTGCTCTGGGGAAAGGCGGGACTTACTACTTGCATAAATTCTTAGTCTTGGAAACTAGCAGGGGCCAGTTCTATCCTGTCCTATAGGGTCACTGTGAGTCAGCAGATTGAAGTGAGTATGTTTTTTTCTGGGTGAGAGGAAGGGGGTAGGGGTGGTTTGGTATGGATGTTCCATAATTCAATGATCTATTCAAGTATGAAAACGATATATTAAATCTGACACACTGCTATGAATTCTGTTTTATAGCGACCCTATATAAGGTTTCGGAGGCTATAAAATTTTATAGAATACCACCAATAGCCTCAATCTTTCTCTCACATAGTGGCTGGTGGGTTTAAAATGCTGTCTTTGGCTTCAGCAGTCCTATATTTACCCAACAGGACCCTTTTGAGTATCAGATAAGTGTTTTCATTTATAATTCCCTAGTGGCATATGATTATCTGCCTACATGCATATTTTCCATCAGTATATCTTCTTTGGTGAGGTATCAACTCTCTTACATTTGGCTCAGTGATCAGTTTTGAGATACTTTTCATCAAAGCTACAAGTCTATGTCTCAGAAAACAACAACCCACCTCCATACTATAAAACCAATTCAGACTCATAACCATCCTATGAGCAACCTTGTTCTCTCCCAGAGCACCTGGTCAGGTGGAAATGCTGACTCGTAGGGAAGTCTATCTAGATTCATTAAGTTTTTCATGTGGATAAAGCATTGTTCTATTGTCATTTGTTGAAAACACTCTGTTTTTAATTGAATTACCTTTTTTTTTTGGAGAAAGATCAGTTGGCTATATTCCTAGGTGCCTATGTGGTCCACTCTGCTCCACTACTTTGATCATTCTTGTCACTCCTCCATCAAGTTTAAGAGATTTATGGCAAAAATAATTACTCATTAGATAGTGATCAAATTCAAATTTTTCATCCTGTGAGTTCATTCTTTTCTGGAATCTTTCATAGTTATATGAATAATATTTCATAATTTTTAAAAGTATCCATAGAGAAAAGCCATATAGCATGCAAATGTTTGGGTTTTTGTTTTCTTTATTTTACAGATTTAAGTTTCGAGCCACAAATGTAATGGGACAATTTACTGACTCTGATTACTCTGATCCTATTAAAACTTTAGGTAAGCCATATTTGTGGTATAATTTAATTTAGAATCTCAACTTGTTCATTCCATTTGGAACATTTATTATTAAGTGTAAATGTATTTGTTCATGTCTGAACGTTCCCAAGTACAAATTCATTTCTATGTTATTAGCCAGACTATGAAAAATCTTGTATTTGTAAGATATGTTTTTAAAGATGGGTGTTGAGATAGTTAGTTTATTGTGCCAGCCTGGCCCATAAACACATGTGGAATTAATTGAAGGGCGGAGAGATAAATGGCTCGGCGAGCCTCGCCTTTCTTGTCTCTCGCTCTTTGATCATTGGACCAGTGTGCGGCTGCCTTGCTTATTCTGTGCCTCAATTTGCAAGCTACACTACCTGTGGTACGCCTAACCCGTGGACTGTGTCACTGTAATTTAAGGTTCCTTTAAGACTGGGGCTTCGCCACACAATTGGAATTTACATCTCTTGAGCTGGGGACTGACTGTTGGTGACCTGGCTTGCTATTTGCTGCCTGTGCTGGGATAGCCTGAACCTCTCTACAGAGGACTATCTGTTGGCCCTCAAGACTTAAAGGACTGCCAGTGTCTCATAACCCTCTAACATGTTTGAATTATACTGAGCCATTTGTACTGTTTTATAATTTAACTATTTCTTGTGCTATATATCTATCTGTATAACTGCTTTATAATTTAACTTTATTTCTTGTGTTATCTATCTATCTCCTTGGAAACAAAAATAGAAACTGCTTAAGTAATAAGGCCACAAGATCAGGATTCCAGAAACACGGGGCCCAAAGTACCTCTTTAGTCCTGAATTCGGGTTCTGGTTTTGCCAGTTGAGAAAGTAATTTAATCCATGTTTGCTTATATATATAAGCAATCTGGTCTTGTCTCTCTAGAGAACCCTGTCTAACACAGGTGTTCATTCTCTTCAAATATGGACACAGGTTTTGATATAATATTGATATATATTAACATCATAATAGATGCTTCAATATATAACCTTAAATGTGAAATAGTTTTATTTGATAAAAGATAAAATATCTTACACATCAAAAGCTTATGGACATTAGTCTTATGGTAATTTCCCCCAAATAATCCCGATAAAAAGCCCTTCAGTCTTTTTAAATGCAGTTTTCTTTCTAATCATCTCTTTCTTAAAAATTTTAATTTTACCATCCTCCTCATGCCTGCCTGAATAAAATTATGTGTACAATTTAGTCATATGCATATGTATTTCACAATTGTAGTCAATATTATCATCAGCATATCTGTGCCAGGCTCTTTATATGTATTACAACTTAACGCTGTACTGTGAAGTCAGGTCATTGTTCTCACCGGGTGGCTTAACTTCCCTTGGACAGTAGAATGCTAAGGTTGTCACACCATGTCAATTAGGATCTTTCTTTTGGCTAATTCTTTACTTTACCAAATAGATCCCTTTCTCCAGGAACTGGTCCCTCCTGGTAACATGTCCAGAGAACACGAGATGAAGTTTGACTGTGCTTCTAACCAGACAAACTTGTTCCTTCTTATTGCGGCCCACGGTACATTCAGTCTTCTTTGCCAACACCATCATTCAAATGTATCGATTCTTCTTCCAGGTTCTGTCGTCATTTTTTGACTTTCGTAAGCATATGAGACCATTATAAATACCATAGCTTGGATCAGGTGCATCTTTTCACTCAAAGTGACTTCTTGGCTCTTAACACGTTAAGGAAGTTGTATAGTAAATAATACATAAATAAATTAAAATCTGCCAATTTCTGTAAGCACATAACGCAAGGAGTTTTGTTGTTGTTTTTGTTACAGTTTCGGGGTGGGAAAAAATCTGCAAGGTGTGATACTTAAGGAACTATCATCCTATATTTGTTTGCCACCAATAAAATTTTCAGGCAATTATATTTTACAATTTTTGATCTCTCTACTTAGTACGCTACCTTCTTAGTAGCAAATAATTCATGCCTCAGTTACATGAGATAAAAAGCCAGGGAATTTAGAGGGGCAACCCTAAGTAGAATTCATAAGTTTAGTCTGGGCATTTAAAAAGTGACAAGAAGATATTATAAGAAATCTCTGTATACTAAAGTTTTAAAAAACAAACAAACAAAATTAAGTTGAAAATGTATATAAAATTAGGGATCATGCACACAAAGTAATGAAGCCTTGAAAGAAAATGTGATCAATAAGGAAAGAGAGGGGATGGCAGGTGACTCAGGGAACAATATGGATTGAGAAGACTTGGGGGATTTCTGTAGAAAAATCACAGGCAGATGGGTAGGAACAGTCAGAGGAAACAATGGGTACTGTATTGTCTCACACAGGTTTGGAGAAGAGTGTTCAAGATTCCTCATTCTTCCCTCTGTCCAAGGGTCAGACGTCCGGCTGCCTCTTGCTTGCCTCTTCTCCCAATGGAAGTAATAGAATACAATAATCAATTCTTGAGTGTAGTAGAAATACACAGTTTTCTGGCCCCTTCTTTGAAACCATAACCATCACTGCAATTGTCCTGTTATTAATGGCTGTGTGTCCTGGTATTACCAGGAATCTAGAGTGGGTGGGAAATGTGCAGTGGCAAACAACACAAGCCGTTACCAAGGTCAGAGAAGAACTGGGGAGTGATACACTGTGGGACAGAAGAGCTGGAAAGTGATTGAGAGCCCAGCATATAATTTGTAGACCCGTGACATGAGAATCTTTCAGGCTCCTTACGGTAGTTTTCTAAGGCCCCCTGCTGATAGATAGAAGCTTTGTAATTAGTTTTTGCCCTGATATGCTTATTCTAGATTGACTATATAGAGTTTTACTAGATAGTTCCTTATACCTAGTAAATTAGTGGGGAGTCTCAGGAGAGAAAACCGCCAGGGTAGAGCTTATAGTTGTGGTGAAATGGGATGTACTGATATGCACTATGGAGAGCACTATTTCATAAACAATGAGGAAAATAGCCAGATATTTCATGAATTAAATGGATTTAACTCGCTCAAGTTCAGTCATCACATTGGTTTGCACCAGCATGTTGGATGTTGTGACTCTGTGGAGATCAAATTCACTTTGATGGGCAAGGTACCAAAGGACACCCTCCAGAAGTGGTCCTAGTCCCTAATTTGATATTGAGAGACTAAGATTTCTTGGAAAATAATATTGCCAAGGAAGGTACAGTAGAAACTAAACAGTGGAAAGAATTGACCAGTAGTTACAAGAATAAAGGCGAGCAAAGAATACAGTGTGTTAATCTACTATCCCTGCTGTCAATTAGAAGATAGCAAAGGATGCTCAAATACTATGTTCTCCTAAATATGTCCTATGTTGAAATGTGTTATACCATTTACAACAGGTCAGTGGCCCCAAACATTCCTAGAAGGTCTCGTGAAGACTTATGTGTATATTTGATCCCAGACTTCACTGAGAGAAGTCTAGGTCTTATCGAGGGCATCAAGCCATCAGTGGATGAGCATTCATTCACTGGTGTTTGGGACACCAGAGGCAATGAGCTCCAAGCACAGTTGCCCACCCATAAACATTTCAGGATTTAAAACCCTTTGCAAGACTATTTCCAAGACACTGTAGCACACATACTTCCAAGAAAGATCATTTTGATAGTTGTACCTGGAAATAATAGTAAAATTTAGAAGTTAAAATTTTAGGGCTGAGGGTGGGGGGAGGTGGAAGGGGAAAATCTCCGTTGGCCGATGAACCAATAGTTTTAAATGTAGATAAAGGACTAGCAGATGTACATGTAAGTGGCGCCACCCAGAATTCCGACAGCTATCAAAGATCCTGCGGCTGAGGAGTCTCCGTTTAGGATCGTCTTTCTAGAGGCATAAGCGTGGGAGATGACATGTCAGTTTATTTCTAAACAAATACTTACAATTTACTTGATTTTGTTTTCAATAAGGACTAATCATTAGTATTTTTACTAACAAAACTCACCATTATCCCTCTTAAAACGCCTTTTGAACGATCATCAATTTATGGAAACGACTTGTAGGCACTGTTTTGGTTGTGAGGTTTAATTATAGAGAGGGTTTCTGTGATTTAAAAACCAGACCCTCCTTTCTGTACCTGACAGGGCTCTCATTAAATCAGAACGAGATGAATGAAACCTTAAACCCCATGGCAAAGGCACTCTGCGACTGTTTTCATTTGTCATAACACCTCTCACTTCTTTACTATGCTAATGATGCAAAGTTCCAATATGCTCACTGGAAGCAAAATTTGGGATCGATTCCCAGTTTTCAGTGAAGGGATCACTGTCTCAGAGGCATCCGAGGATTCCAGGAAGGTTTTGTTGTTTTCTGGGAGCAGAGGCAGCGTGGGAATGAATGATCTTACAAACACTGCAGCATTTAGACATTTTCTGGCAGTGTTATCCTATATTGAATCTGAGGGCCCTTGATGACACAGGGGGTTAAGCGATGACCTGCTAACTGTCACATTGGCAGTTCAAACCTACCAACTGCTCTGCAGGAGAAAGATGAGGCTGTCTGCTCCCCTAAGGATTTGCTGTCTCAGAAACCCTAAGGAGCAGTTTTACCTCTCTCCTGTAGATTACAGTGACTCTGATTTATGGGGCTTGATTTTTTTGATTTGGGGTAGTCATTTAAGGAATTTTCTTATGAAATCTTATTTCTGAGGTGAAAACAATAATACCTATCTGACAGACTCACTAGGAAACTAAATCAGATGAATGGATTAATTAATATATTGCTTATTAATAAAGATAGCTAACATTGTGTGCCAAGTTTTTTAAATGTATTTCCATATTAATGCATATATTCATCAGCACATCTCACAATATGACCTTTTATGTATAGAAAACTGATTAGCAGGTAAAAAATCAGAGTTGCTGTTTCTCTATGCAACTTGCCCATGCTTGAAACCCAAGTGACTGGCAGTTAAGTGTCTTATTAAGTAGCTTTCATGGTCATTGCGCTCCCCTAGACTTCCTCTTCCCCTGCTACATTATTTTCTCCTCTCAGTTCTACACACTGTTTCTGGTTGTTCTCTTGACTTACCTTCTTGTCTTAGTTTAATGAGGGAAACATTCACAAATGAGCATGCTTCATTTTTACATGTAAAGCTACACTAATTCTTTTTTTTAGATGATGGATAGTGGTGCTTTTTCCTTACATGCTGAAAAATACTGATTATTACATAGATTATTTAAGTTTGCCATTCTAAAGGATTAAAATGACATCTCGCTAGAATATTTTAATCTAAATTTCTTGAATGATGAAGTTGAGAAATTTTATCAATCTGCTATATACTGTTAGAATATCCCAGTGACTAATACTTGACCCAATGAGAGAAACCTTCATATTCTGTAATCCTGTTATAAGAATTTGTTTCTTTTTTGGTGTAATTATACGAACACCTTTCTCTTGATAAGGAGCTCTAGTGGCAATGTTGGATAAGTTGAGATCTTAATCATAAAGTTGGTGGCTCAAACCCTCCAGAAAGATAAGGATGTCTGCTCCCATAAAGATTTACCCCATGTCAGATAGATAAACCCCTCAGAAATAGCAATGGGAGTAATGATTCCCTGTGGGCATGGGAAAAGATTCCCTGATAGCAACGATGAATGTATAACCCTACTGGAAGGGAATGAACAGCAGAATTGTAGGTGAATGGATACATTGGATTGAGTAAAACATGGCAATAATAATAATATTATATTAAGGGCCATGCGGGTGGTAGGGTAGAGGAGGGTGGGAATAAAGAGCTGATATCAAAGAGTTCAAAAAGAAAGAAAATGTATTTAAAATGATGATGGCAGCAATGTATAATTGTGCTTGATCTAATGGAACTATGGATTGTAATAATAGCTGTTAAGAGCTCCTGAAAAAAATGTTAAAGAAATCCCATTTCGTGTTGCTCTGAGTCAGAATCAACTCAATGGCTATAGGTTTGATTTACTCTTACCATGTCTTTCTACCTATATCAGTAGACAAACACTGAACTATGAGCTTTATATCTCATTTAATTCAAGCTTCTCCCTTGAGAAGCTGCTTACATAGTAAGACCTGAATGCTGAATTTAAGTAATGAATATTTCATTAGGAAGCTAATGCATAACAAATAAAGTAGTGCTTTATAATACTGATTTGCTTAATCATGATAGTACATTCCCCTGTGCGAACAAAACACAATTTGAATTGACCTTTCAGAAGATTTTAAGGTTTGTCAGGAAATGACTCAAGTCGCTTCCCATTAGAATTGTGTTGATATTATCAAGCCCAAGAGCTCCATTTTCTATGAAAGGATTGGGAGACAAGGCTTCATTTGACTCTGCCGTGACTCAGCCAGTGTTCTTGACCGTCAGGGCACATTCTGTCCTTTTCTAGTGCTGCTTCCCAAAGGATTACATATTGTTTATTAACATATTATATGTCATTTCCACATTTCACTTGGATAGTGCTTTGAAATGGTAATTTGATCTGAAGAAAAATCCTGCTGTGGTCTGTGAACACATTTCTTTCCCCTGAGTGCCTGGATGCAGTGTTTCACTATGACTGATAAAGATGATGGCTGCTTCATCGTCATGCTGCCTTGCCCAAGCAGACCCAAGTAAAGGCAGCATGTGAAAAACCAGACGCAAACCTCTTACATGTGAAAGAGTAGAAAACGCATATCTAAAATACTTCATGAGCCACGTGCTCTGTTAGCATCTTAGCAATAACTGGAGAGTCTAGGGGACCCAAAAGCTCTGATAATTACTTAGGATACAGAATTCATTGAGGTGTACTATGCAGGTACCACAGAGACATCTTTAGAGTTGCCAAAGTTTTGTAAGCACACATCCAGAGAAAAGAGGGGAAAAGATGAGCGCCGGAGTTCTTTATGGATAGTTGTGGTTTGTGCTGTCAGTTTCTGTGGTGTCCACTCTGATTCAGGGTTGTAGAAAAATGTTAATCGTGATTAATCTAGTCAATAGGTCCTTTTGTACTGTTACATATTACACCGTTATTTTATTTATATATTTATATACTCATTTTTCTTCTTTTATTTATATACTCATTTTTTGTTCCGGAAGTGATTGTTGTAGTTATGGGCCACGGAGTCAGTCTGACTCCCAGCCACCCTGTGTACAACAGAACAAAACACTGCCCAGTGCTGACTGGTCTTCAGTGGAATCAGTAGATACATTGTGTGAACCCATCTCCTTGAGGGACTTCCTCAAAAGATTTTAAAATAAAGATACTCTGTCTTGTAGATAATTTGAATTGAGTAGACAGTCTTATAGACATCATAATTAAACCCATAAAGCAGAATGAGTTCCCCAAATGTGTAAAAAGAAAGTAAGAAAGTCAAAGATTCAGAACCAAAGTTAGGAAACCTAGGAGAAGAAAAGGAACAGGCTGATTGGTGTGTTTTATATGCACTCTTATGGAACATGCCAAGAAAACACCTTTCTGTATCTTGAGGTTCTAGGTTATATTTCACAATAATGCTTAACGCTAATGTTATTTGCCTTCTGCTCCAGGTGAAGGACTTTCAGAGAGAACTGTCGAAATCATTCTTTCAGTCACGTTGTGTATCCTTTCAATAATTCTTCTTGGAACAGCAATTTTTGCATTTGCCAGGTAAGAATTATTAATGTTCATTTGTCTAGAATGCTGAATGGGAATTCTATCAGTCAGGGTACAATCAGGAGGCAGAAACCACACAGTTTTGCATATGGAAAATGTAATACAAAGAAACGTTAACCCTACTAAACAATGAACTATCAAAGAAGTTAAAAGAGAACTCTAAGGGTTTGAGAAGTCGGAAGCAAAGCAAAGCACAAACCCTGAAGATTAAGAGAGAGATAAAGAATACCAAGAAATATAAATTTTAAAGAGTCTCACCCCCAAGGCTGACATTGGATGGCTATTGCAGTAAAATACAGCCTGCCTCTGGGTGAAGAAATATGACAGGAGGCTGGAAGCCTGGGGATACTGCATTAAAACTTTGGCTGCTAACTGAAAAGCCATCAGTTGGAGCCCACCAACTATTCTATGGAAGAGAAAACATGACAATCCGCTCCTATAAAACATACAGCCCAGGAAACCCCACAGAACAGTTCTACTCTGCCCTCAAAGTACTCTATGGCATACAACAATACCCAAAAAAAGACCCTGTGGACAGGCTGGCACGGGTCTTGTGTGCTTGGAATCATACAGTAATGAAGAGAATGTGCACTTAAGAGGCAACTAGAGCTCACTCGATGGCATGCTGTGCTCCCATAAAGAAGAATGCTAGATTGGAAGTTCCAAAAAATCAAACTCACTCCTCATACTTTCTCTCCTTCAGAACAGCTGGTGGTTTTGACCTGTTGACCTTGCAGTTAGCAGGCCAGCACATAACCATGAAGCCACCAGGGCTCCTAGATTAGAAGTATTGCCCTGCGCCTATTGTCTTACGAGGTCACCTTAGTGCCATTGTAAGGGCATTCAATAGACTATTCACAGTTGGCTACATGCTATAAAATACAGTTCAAATGCCATGTATGTAGGAGGACAAATAAGGGTAGATTTGAAGCAGAGAGACAATAAATAACCAAAAGTAGAGGTGATAGCCTGATTCACTTTTTATGAATAATTTATAACACTGATAGGTTTAATTTAAATATTTGAATCACATTAAAATTTTAATGTTTACGCAGAAGAGATAATTTTCTGTTTGCTAAAGAGAAACACTTTTAAAATGTCCAACTTTCTTCCATGGTGGGTCTTCTCAATTTCAGGTTACAATCTGTCTGTATTAAGACTGACAAGTTTGTTTTGATTCAAATTCTCAGCAGCAGCCTCTTAATCACTCTATTGATGATAGCACCTTTAGGGAAATATTAGTTATGACACCAAAATCTACCTTTACAAGATAGAGTGCCAAATTAAATGCATCTGACCTGTGTGAAAGTAACCATTCTAATTCCCACAAAAACTCAATAGGCGCTGTGGAACTGAAGAGCGCTGTCCGCTATTCTGAATGCAAGATTTCATCTGTTTCCCCTGAAAGTCTTAAATCGTCATTTTGACCGTTAATTTGAAAGGTTCTCAGAAAACATTTCCTTTGTATCCTATGCCCTATTCTAAAACTAGGCTAGAATGTGAAAGAAAGCCATTAATTTAGATGCTTTAAAATTTTTTTCCTTTTAGATTTCGGCCTTGCCCTAAAGGGGCATGCATTAACCATATTCATATTATTTCCTTCCTCTACAATATTCTCTAACTTTTCATATCTTTATGGTATAAACTCTTATGTAGACATTACGTGGCCCCTTTGCTCCTCACAACATTTCTGCAAACGTCTCTCCAACCATATAGGGCTATTCTTCCTTACCTAAGCATTCTTTATAATATTTTAAAAATATTTTGCTTCTTATTCAGTCACCCTGAATATGCCTTTTCCTCCTTCTTTTCCTCAAAAACCTATCCAATCTTTCTAAAAAAATCAATCACCGACTCATCTCTCAGTTTGGTGTACTTTGGCGGTGTTGATGCGGGAAGCTGTAACACTTGTATTTCAAATATGAGTGAGGTTATACATGGGGCATAGGGTTCAGCACACCTTCCAGATGGGGAGAGACTGAACAAGGTCTTGGCACCGGACTTCGGAGAAAATGGAGCAGTGAAGTCCTTACGGAGAGCGGCAGCCTGCCATCTGCTGCGGCCCCAGAAGATACACGGAGCCTCATTTGAGTGCCGTGACGATGAGTAAGGATGGAAAGTTGGCCAAATATTTCTGACACAGTAACTCTTTGTCGTTTCTCCATCTTCTTCTGTTCCTTCCTGCATGGCTCAACATTTTGCCGTTAGAATCCTTCAGGATTGTAAACTCAAGACTTAATTAGTTAATTAATTGATTTTTAGTTCTTCTAATGTTGAGAAATGCCCAGCATGCCTTCCCTTGGATTTCCTAGGTCCAGGTCTTTGCGTGTTCCAACATAAGCTGCCCTGGGATCCT